CTTGTTTTGTAACGTTTGGAAACACATATTCTTGAAAAGTTCTGAACAAGATCCTGATTGAATCTTTGCAGGAATAGTCAGTTTCTTATGTTGACTGATCCTGTTATTTTCTTGTTAAAATTCTGATCTGATCTGGTTATCACCCCTGACAGGATCCTGATTCAAGAATTTGACCAAGATCCTTACAAGAACCTGATAAATTTTTTTTCAAAATCCTCTCTCATAATCTTGTGAGGATCCTCTATACGATCCTGAGAAAATCCTGATAGGAAGCTGAAATCTCGACTCAGAAAAATATCTGAGCGGGAACTTGAAAAAATCCTAAACAGGATCTTGTTTCACCTCGACAAATCCTGGAAACAGGAATTTCTAGGATTCGAGACAGGATCCTGAATAAAACCTAGCAGGATCCTTGAGATTCAGGATCCTGACAGATCCTTTCAGGGTTTCTCAAGGAATGAACAGGATTGAGACTAGGGAGTATGATTACTTTTCAATTCTTTTTTGAGAATCTTTTGTTTTTTGTAGTTGACATCCCATGGAATCATCCAAGATCTATTTTTAACATTTCAGCGTGTTTTCTAAAATTTTATCTTATTGTGAATCAACAATAATGATCTTTTTTAAAAAGAAGACTATCTGTATTCGTATTTCTTTCGTTCTCTACATTTGTTCGAAAAACAATCCGACAAAAACTAATACTGTTCCGAACATTTGCTGTTTTGTTATTGGATTGCCAAAGATTATTATTGAAAAAAGTATAGTAAAGAATTTTCGTGTCGTGGTAAATATTGAACATGTCAAGGGGCCAAACCTTTCAATTGGAAACCAATAACATATTTGGAATCACCATTAAAAATGGAGCCGACTTGTCAGTATTTTTATTCTTTTTGTGAACTTTTATTAGTCAAAAGAAAATTCACCTGTGGTCCCCCTGAGGGTTCTAAGCAAAAAATGTTTTCACTCCAAATTTTTTAAACGGATTAATCTCAGCCGCTAATTTTGCTATATTTCGGATATTAACACTTGACTTCACAGACCCACATAGGTTTCGTTGAAATCCAAGAAAAACACCCAGGGACCTTCCCTCGTTAGTCAACGATAGAAGATCAACAATCAGATAATGAAGTATTAAATTTAGTTAATAGCGATATTGACGAACAACAAGAACCAATAGAAAACAACAAACGAGAAGAAGATAATGATTTAGTATCAACCAATTGCGTACAACGACTTAAACCACGTTATTTAAGAGTTTCTGATAAAATTTTTAAACAAATGTTATCGAATATAGTTGAAGATGGTGATAAAATCGTTCAATGTTTAAATAGTAATGAAAAGCTTCAATTGATTCGTCAAATGACGGAAGCAGCTAATAACTTATATTATATCGATTTTTAACGTCAATTATGGCAAGCTTATTTCGATCTTGGTATGGAAGAAGGTATATGGGTACCACGAGTATCAAAATCTTTTGTTAGGCCGCATCATACATGTCGTTCATACGACTTTCCTAAACATATAATTGAACAACAACAAAAACCAATAACACAACTATTACAACATACAACGAATGAATTACATTGGTATCCAACAAATTTAGAACAAAATGCACAACAAAGGCAACCATTTGTTGATCCACCTTTTTATATCTGGCGCTATTAATGAATGTATTAATAATGCTCTACAACGATAAAGACAAGAATTTAATTATAAAATGAAGATGTTAACATTAAATTCTAATGATCGTCATTTAATTACGAAATTTCATGAGTCATAACCAAATGAAGAATAGGTTTTTTTATATAGAAATATTAGACATATAAACTTTTATAGTCTTCTAAATTTTAGATACATATAGCGAAACAGATATGGCAAACAACATTCGATATATTGAAAACAAAAAAGCAAGGAGAAATTCTTCGTAAACGAATTTTCCTACGACGACTAGCAATTACATATGATAAAATGATTGATAAATCTTTGGATTATATCGAGCCTATGCTTTCAAATCAAGCTCAGGATAAATATCAGCGTGCTAGTTTATTGTCGAGTTATTCAAAAACAATTACACAACATAAATTTGATTTGATGACCTTAAATCTTGATACGATACAGAACGTAATACGTGGTCATCAACAAATACTTAATAATCTACAAAGCAAATTGTCACAATCATGTCATGAATTAATAATTAAAGCTATTGAAAATCGTCGAAAAGCTATGCAAAAACGTCATGAAACATATTTAAAACATAAATTGCATACTTTTTTCGACGAGTCTCTGGCGACATCAAACGAATAAAGCAGTTTCGTTGTAGTTGGAGCAGTATGTCAATTTACACTGCCATAACTGTTTCATTACCATTTATTGAAGTCGATTTAAATTTAACTGTACAATAAATGCGTATGTTTATTAATGGTCTCAAATATATTATACCATGTCATAATCGACAGTCTCGTAAATCTATCGAACAATTTGTTATTGAACAATATCAAAGTATATCAACTACAGTAAAAAATTGTCTTAAAGATCATCGACTATCAACTATAGATGAACGTGCAAAACAAGCATTTTCACAATTAAAAGGAATTTTGTATGAATTACATTCCATGCCTTTGCCAAAAAATTACAAATACGTGCAAAATATGAATATAAAATCGTTCGAAGTATTCAACGTCTTCTACGTCATCGGTCAGATATTGTTATACATCGTACAGATAAAAGCAAAGTATTTTATATTGGAAAAGTGACTGGTTTTGAACGAAAAGCAGAAGAATATATATTAAAAACTGAAGCTTATAAAGAAATCTCAAATAGTCGTTGTCCTCTATCAGATATTTTATATGCTGTACAAACTTTGCTCACGCATCTTGTAATACAAAAGGGTCTAACTGATCAACAACGTACTAAAATATCTCCGAAGTTACACAATTTAGAACTAGGTCATTATCATGGTCTGCCAAAACCACATAAAGTAAATATATTTCGGATCAAGATGTAGATAACTTGTATTCTTTTTCTTTTTTTCTAGCCTGGTACACCATTACGACCTATTATTGCATGCATTCATGGATCAACAAGTTCGATATCGAAATTTGTGAATGATCTTCTAGCACCTATATTTTTGAACGTTGCTCGTGAAGCAACATTTATTAACGGTATTGATGCCATTAGAAAATTAGAAAAGTATGTGCTAGATGAATACTTTCAATCTACAACAAAATTTATTACAGTTGACGTTACGGATCTTTATAGAATGATACCTCGAGAAGGTGCATCACAAACATTAATGCGATTTTAGAAAAACATACACACTATGGAAAAATAGGTTCATGATCGATTGATCACATTATGAGAATGGCTCGTTTAATGCTAGATAACAATTGTTTTGCCTATGATAATAGATATTATAAAAAACTCGTGGTGGAGCTATGGGTTTAGCATTCACGCAAGTGTTAGCTAATATCTATATGTATGAGTGGGAACAGGATTTCATCAAACATCAAGAAAAACATAAAGGAATATATGGAAGGTTTGTTAAACATTTATCTAACTGACAGGCATTTTATTAACTAACGTTTTCCTATTGTAATTAGATACATCGAGGCTATATTTATGAACACCAATCAAACCACAAATGAAATTAAAGAAGAGCTCCAACGTGAAGCCGAAAAAGATATAAATATTAAAATTTATTATGAAATTCATACAACGGTTAATTTTTTGGAAACCACAATAACAAATGATCATGATCAATTAAAAACATCCCTTTATCATAAGCCAACTGCTGAACCTTATATATTGCCATATACATCCGACCATCCACGACACATTTATCATAATATACCATATGCTGCCTTGTTATGTGCTGCTCGTATTTGTTCTGATGCACATGACTTCAACAGAGAATGTATTCGTATTGATATCTCATTGTTACTAAATAATTATCCGTCAAATTTTATCGCAAAATAATTCTATCGCTTCTTCCAAATAAACAACGCCATGTCTGTGGTCAACGAACTGAAAAAACAAGTTTATCATCAGCTACATCAAAAACTACTGAATCAACAGACCCAACGTGAAAAGCAACATATTCTAATGACACAAGATCTAATTCGATCACCAACAGTGCTGCAACAGAAGATATGGGATGCAAACATCATGTACCCGCGCTATCGGTTCGACAACTCCTCTTCCAGGACTTTCCCAAAACACTTTTACCAATGGTGGTGAACTCACTATGCAAAAGATGGATCGCCTCTGAAAAATGTTGAAGTCAGGGTAGTACCAACGATATGTCGCACACTTGAAACATTCTTCATACACAAGACACCACCAAAACAAAGGCTAACTTGTATGGAACAAACACAAACAGCAAAGACCACTCAACAATAGCCAATTCTTACGAAACCCAAGAAAACCAAGTGACAGAAAACACTTTCTAATTTCTATAAAAAGTTTAAGTTGTATCTATTTTTGCAACAATTCAAAATAAATACTTCCATTCAATAAAATCAACACTCTATAAACAAAAATGTTTCCCACAAAACTTCAATTCATACAAATTGTCATACTTCTCTGTTTCAGATCAAACAAAATTCATCCACTTCAGCAAACATTAAATTTAAACACACCTTCATTTCCCCCGATATAGCGTCAAAGGCCATTACATTATTTCTGAAATCCTACCCATCACATACAAAAAAACGCAATGCGACATAAGAAACGCCTCGTATGATGCTTGGAAGGATTCTTATGTAAACACACCCTTTATTTAAGAATAACTATGCTATACATATAACTTAGTTGAATATATATGTTGTAGACAAAATTGGAATTAATTCCAATTTTGCCTACAACATATATATATAGTAAACTTTGGAAAATATACTTGTTGTTAGTCATATTTCGACTTCGATATAGTTTATATTTTCAATATAGGTTTTCATATTATTCTTCTAGGTTATATCTATATAGTTCTAATTCCGCACATACCTGATGAAGACTGTCTAAGCAGCAGTCGAAACGCCTCGTATGATACTTGGAATTGTTCTTGTGCAAACACACCCACACCCTATTAACTTTACAATGATAGTATATTATGATTAATATCAGCTTGGAAGTTTACTCATGAACTTCTAACTATGTTAATTCATAGTAGGAGAGGTAATACAATTCCATCAAAATCATAAGCAACTGATAAGTGATTACTTTAGCAGTAATCGAAACGCATCTTGCTAGATTTTGAGTATTATTATTTTATTAATACATAATCACACCCACATCCACACTCACATCCCACACCCACACCCTTTGTTTTAGGGGAACGTGGACGTTTTTTACATGGGTTGTCGGTTTTAGTTTGGTTGGTATCGGTAGTAGTGGTGGACGCCGATAATGGTATTCATAAATGTTTTTTTTTCTCTATCGTTGGTTGGTGAAATATATTTTTTCTTGAAGTGTGGGTGAATTAGGCCTTAATTCTCATTTCGGAGTGATTTTTACAGATCAGACGTTTATAAATGCTCTTGTTGTTCAGGAGGTCTGTGTGGTAATTCATGGAATGTGAATGATAAATCATGCTCGATTTCTGATTGGTCGTCGTGCCAGCTTCACATCGATATCTAAATGAATCGAACCAAGAATAGCATCACTCCATTACTCAAATGCGACCCATTGTCACTACAGTATAAACACGCATTCATACCAACGTCGGTATCGATTATTTCTCACATGGAGAGAAAAAAACTAAAAACATATTCATTATCATGCCGAACTCTTGCTTACCGAGGTCGACAATCCGACGCAAAAACATGATTTTAGAATTCAGCGTTCTGACATTGAACAAAAGCAAACTATTTGACACGTTGGCAGTGTATTCCACATATATAGTGTTACTTAACTACAAAGTCTGAGATCTAAAGCTTGTACTGTGGATAAAGAACTGTAACAATACTGCCATGAACTATTTTTTAAAATGGTCCTCATTATCTTGGTTATTATTTGGAAAATACTGCAATTTTGAAAGATACAAAATACAAACAAAGAATGCTTCATCTTTCTGTATTTGATTACCATCTGGAGCGACAGATAATTTTAGTCGGGCTTGTATTTTATCGATCATTCATTGAAATAAAAGAAAGTAAAATTTGTTCTACTCCTCTTTAATCTCATTGTTCAGAATGATCAAGATTGTGAACATAGGACACAGGAAGCTTCGGGTACCGTTAAATCCGCTTTTATCAATCGAAATGAACCAATAAATTGTACAGCAAAGTGGGTGCGAGTGCGTGAATGGCTGTTGGTATGACTCTTCTCTTTATGCACACAACACCCAGTCAGGCAGTCAAGGTAACTAGTGAATACTTTTCTTTTGAAAAAAATGAGAATATTAGTAACTTAATATGAGTATTATTTGAATTTATCCCGACAGAAAAGAACCGAATGAAAAAAAAACTTATTTTCTGATTTTGTTTTCTTTCATTGAAGTTTTTTTTTATTTTTTAATTCAACGTCGAACATGTATAATAGTGGTTAAAGTTCATTACGAAATTATTTTTATGCTACATTGGTTAAATGATGATATGATCATGAATTTTTATCGAACTCTCTAAATATAAATGAAATTTGAAAATGATTTCTAAATAAATGTATATATATATATTGTAATTGTGCGCCATTTAAAACAAATTTTTGCTGAATACAATTTTGTCTGAAGTGTAGCATTTTCTGTGACATATACATTTGAATGAATGTTGGTTTGCGAATGTATGGGTGTCCTTTAGCTGCAGGAAGAACGAATGAGAGAAAAAGCAAAAGAGTGGGAAACACTCCCATAAACGAAAAGAAAAACGTACATCGAGCAAGAAGAACACAGCAGACTTCAGAAATTCGAGACTCCATACGACTCCAAATAATTCTGAAGTCCTAAAAAATAGAATATTAAATAACTTCTTCTCCATGTATTACAAATTGGGTAATCACTAATTATATGAGTATTAGGTTGACTACTCATTAATTAACTGACAACTCAACTAATTAGGTCAAATTAAGATGAGTAATCACTGAATAAGAGTGTGGGTGGCAGTATAAGGTGTAGATGATGACAACACCCAGACACACACCTGTCAATAAGAGACAAAGAAACGCATTTTATTTCAAATGACTCTCCCTTCAGTCGAGGGAATAGAGCTATATTGTAGATAGGTTTGACAAGAAGACACACATTAACACTCACTCTCTAATAAGTTTTCATTTGATTATTTTTCATATTTGACAATGATTTTCTCATAGGTTCTTTATTGCGAATATAGTAATATTTTAAAAAAAGAATAATTAAATTCCCAATCTTAGATAACCTATAGTTGCAAGTGAAGAACTTTGATTGTGACAAGAAGATTGTTCACCAACATTCAATGAATAAACATTTCGTTGTTTTAATGATGCAAACACTGTAAAACGGCCAAATCTACTTTTCGTAGTAATTATATGTTGTTCACATAGACTAAAAAGAAAACTATCAAATATTCCTAATTGAAAAGCTAACATTGAATTATTTGTATGTGATATATGTAAAACCGGATTGGAATTGGCTAAAATTTGTAAATGACTACTGTTTGACTGACATTTATTTTTCGACAATAGAAAGCATTCTAATGAAAGTTTCCAACGTTTTAAAGCAGCTCGACGTATTTGAAGATCATCAGATAAAAGAAAAATAATTGGAATTTGATTTGTTTTACGAAATAAATTCTCATTCATATAAATAAAATCTTCTGAACATGTAAAAAAGTTTTTAAATTTCTCGAGATTTTCTTCATCAGAAATAGAATTTGCTTGAATCATAGTTTCATCTCCAACACGAATTTGAATTCCAATTGGAAAAAATCTCGGTGATAAAAGTGTTTGTAAAACTTGTTGAGATGAATGACCTAATTGTGGATTTGAAGAATTTAATGGAAATCGTTTAATCAATTGAGATAAACGATAAGTGAAAAGTGAATTATAAAGACATCCAAAAATATTTTCTGTATTCATTTCAAGATCAATAGTTAACAATTTTCTATAGATACTTGAATTGGATTTAATTGTATGTATAACACCGCCTGTATGACCTTTAAATATAAGAATACGTTCAGGAAAATCTTTATCATAATCATAATCATTTTTATATCGCTCAGTTAAAAATCGATGAGCTTTGATCGTTAAATTATTTTGAATACTTAAAGATAAGTTTTTCTTAATTGAACTCAATTGAGAAAGCCAAGGAATCACAATATTTGGTTGATAATTTAAACTTGATTGCATAACATCAATAAATTCTGGCCATTTTTTATCAAATATAAAGAATCGATTTGTTAATAAAGCTACTAAATAAGTTGTAATGAAATGGATCATTCTATCAGCAATACCTGTTGTCGATTTTGCATAGATTAAAAAACGAACATCAAGTTCAATTATACGTTGAAATTGTTCTTCGAATGTCATGGATCGATTACAAATACTAAAACTAATATTTTCATGCCATTTTTGATAATTTAAAATCCAATTTTGAAATTTCTGTGGGCATACTTGATTGTTCTTTGCGATTTCAAATGGAGCTAGACGTCTTGGTTTTGTTGACACGTTATTTTTATCGAAAACGTTTCTATTAATTGACGCTCTATTCTGTAAATCAAGCCAATATGAAACAGCTTCCTGTTCTCTAATAAATAATTCTCGTGAAGTTGAATGAATTAAAGTATTGATAGAAGAACATTGAAAGAAAGTCAAAGGTAATTTTGAAGGTTGTCTTTTATTTCGATTTAAACAAGAACTTAAGCATGATATTGTTAGCGGCCACTGAGACCAAGAAAATAATTTTTCGTGATCAAAACTCCACCATTGATAAGTAAAACGAAATTTGTCATCAGCCAAGAACATTCCATGAATATCAACAGATATAGTGTCTGATGTATTTTTTAATGATAATGGACAACTTGAATTTTGGGATAAAAAAATGAAACTTACTTCTTTCAAATTAAAGATATTTAAGCGAAAATTCAAATAAATATGACAAATTGGATGAAAATCTTTCATAGTTTTCGAACTTTTCAAACAGGTTATTTTAACATGATCAATTTTATTTTTAGAAACATCTTTTGAATAATTCCAATAATCTTTAATCATGGATGTTAAATTTAATTCTAATGATAAATAATGATTATGAAACATTGGTTGAAATGAACTTTTTTCTCTATGAGATAATGCTTCTTCATATAATGAAAGTAATTCAATCGCGGATCTTTTCATCCGTACTGATGGTGCGCTTTGAAAAGATGCATCAACAATCCATTTTATTTGTAAATCATTATGAAAAATAAGTAAAAAGGCTAAAAGAAATATGATCGAACTGATAATACATTGAATTTTTGTTACTTGATATAATCTCTTCTTTATTGTTATCATTCAAAATTGTTTTAACATTGACAAATAATATAGTATAATTAATAATCTGANCACTAGGTCTTGAAGGACAATGAAAGACCACAAAAATATCAATAAAATTGAAATTCTGGATTTTTGATTAAAAATATTGACATTATCAATTAAAAAAAATTTTCTTTTTTTAACAAGAGAATGAAATTAGTAAAATTGTAGAGCAAAAAGCGCTCTACAAAACTAAGTAAGATAATAATTGTTATCATATTCTGATAACGATCATTTCCATATGATAGTCTAATGCTTTGAATCTAAATATTTGATAATATCAACTTATATTCCATATAGGAAAAATTCTTGAAATTGAATAAGAACCAATCTGATTTATATACCATTAGATGCAACTTTTTAAGCTCTACAAAACCCTGTATTTTGTTTTTCTAAGTGAATAAGTTGAGTTATCCGACGGAGTCCTTTATATAATTTTTGTTTTGTTGTTTAAATTGTGAAACACACTGTTCATCATTATCATCAGTAGAATTTTCTTTTGAATCTATGCGAATTTCATCGATTGTTTCTTCAATTTGCTTAATTGCTTTGTTTATATTTTCAATTATTGAATCAAGAAATTTTAAGAATATAATATTTATTTCTTTTCATTAATTACTTCTTCTTTTCTCTTTGCAAACCATCAATCATTGTTCGAAGACCGTTGTCGCCATATGGTGCTTGTTCGAAATCTAATTCTTTAATTCGAACTGTTCCATAAGATGATTTAACAGTTTGTCAATTAAGAATTTTTCTTATTGATATCATGAACATTAATTTATATTCCATAAGATTCTATACGTTGTGTTGATTGAATATTATTATTTTTAAAATGGCATTTATCATATTCAAATGTGACTAACTATAACATCTTTATAATATGTAATACGTGCTAATAATAGAGATGTATGTTCTTTTGAACAACAATTTCTTACAAAGTTATTCGATCTCAGTTAATTGATTTTCACAAGGGGAAAAGCGGATTGCGGTATTCTCTGTATTCTCGCCGTATCCGGGATACGAGCATGACTTGCTTATAGTTCCATTGCATCTATCGTATACATTTGATATCTTCTCCATTGTATCATATTGTATCTTCAGTATCTGAAATGTATCCTGTGTACCCCAACTGTATTCGGGATATACAGAATCCGCTTTTTCTTCCTTGGATTTTCAGCATCATCAGTAGACAATGCACTTAAAATTGGACGAGCTTCAGCTGTAGTTATGTTTATCAAATGCTTTGGATCTAGAATATTTATGAAAAGTTTTTATGGAACAAGAAATTATGATATAATATTTCAAAATATGACTGTATTCTTGTGAAATTAAAAGACAAACATATTTTCACTTTTTGTTTAAATTACTGAACTATGAGCGTTTTTGCTTCATTCAAATAACTTGCATGAAAGTAAGAAAATATAATAAGAGACCTAAAAATAAATATGGTTTTAGAGATTGTTCGGAAATTATCTTGTTATGAAGGAAAGGAATGAATGTCGCAAAATAATCATCAAATATCATATGTATACAAGTTTCGAAATTGTAATGTCTTTTGTATATTAGTGTTAATTTTCATGCAGTGATAAATCACTGCCTTAGATAATAAAATCTGACTACGAATCTATCATAGATGACTTACGTGTACGAAATTTGAATTCGTTCTGACGAGATGGTAATTAAATAAAATGTTTATAAAGCCGGAGGAGAGTAGTAATTGCGTATAAGACGAAGCTGAATTGGATTGAATAAAATAGCTCACACTCTCGAATGAACATTCAGCCGATAGATTCAATTCATTTGTTTTAATTTTACATCGGATGAAGGATAAATTTCAATCGTTTATACGAAATCGTTAAGTTTTATCGTAGAAACAAAGGTAAAAAAAATCTCATACAGAACAGAAAAAAAGCGTCAGTTTAGGTCGTCTATTATTTTCAGAAACAGAAATTTTGAATGTAAGAGAAATCGACAAAATTTTTAAGCACCTTCTAGGATAAACCAATCATATCTATTGATTTGTATCTAGGAAAAGTGTCGTCTTAGTGAAGAATAGTCTTTAATCGCATTATTTTTTTTTCCTTTTTATTTTTCTTTCTAATGAGAGCTCGACATCATGATACATAGTAATTTAAATAAGAAAAAAACGTTCTTGATAAAATTAAAAAATATTAAAATTAAAAACTAAAGTTCATTGGAAATATTTGTTATTGTAATAACAATAACCCCATTTTCATAGATATGTTGAATAGCATTTTTTCGATAATCATAAGCTGAATTAGGTTCCCATTTTCCTATGGGTATTTCGATTTCAAATTTTCCTATACGATTTGTATTTAAATAGTCTTTATCAATAGCAATATTTTCAAACATTTTTTCACCTTGAATTAATATTGATGAACCACGAGCAGTGACATTATACGAATTTGCACATGATGGACATTCAATACGTATTTGAATATTTCCACTTTCTTGCAGTCGAAAAATATGTACATCAGGAACGAATTGAGAGGAATAATCGATATGAATCGAACCATCTTCAGCAAATTTCAAGTGTTTAGTAAATTTTATATTATTTGCAAACGTTTGTTTTGGACATATGAACCATAAAGTTTCGAGCGGATTTATTTGAAATTCTTTAAGCTCAAGTTGAACTTTAATATTACGTTTATTCGATGCATGTAATCGATTTTCATGATTTGACGCAAATAAAGAAGTTGCAAATTCATAGGCTTTAGCAAATATATTTGAATGATTGAATACTTCATCATCGCGTTCACTTGTAGAAGGTAATTCTTCAACTAAAACTTTGCTTAGTAATAATTCAATTTGTTTCATAATTGTATCTAATATATCATTATTTTTAGCAGCATTTGATCCTTTAATCATAGTTCGTATTTGTTCAATGGATCTATTGTTGTATATCTGACCAGCTTCACTATCAGTACTTGCAATAACAAAATGTTTGAAATGTTCACTGATCCAATAACCTTGAGGTTGTTTTCGTGCACCAAATAATCGTATAAGTTCAAATTTTTCAGTCTCTTCAACTTCGACACTTGTACGTAAATTGAAATAATTATGTACAATTAAAAGCTTCTGTTTGATATCGATTTCACTAAAACCTTTATCCTAACAAAAATTAATCGAAAAAAGGAAAACATTGAATATGTCATTACTGGTCAAATAACAATTTTTAGTTTACATCTTTGAATGCATCATTACACTAAATAATAGTGCTTCTATTGTTTAGCTTAAATGTTGAATTAATTCCATATGAGGTGCCAGAAATATCGAAATTTGAGTAACATATTTTTATTTTATTTTTAGGCTTGATGAGAATGCAATCGTTGATTTATCACTAACAATATCGTTTATTTTATCAATTCGACAAAATTTTATCATTAAAAAGCAAATATGAGAAACTTGAGCAGAAAAAAGATGCCCAAAATGTATATATCTATTTTAGAGGACGAGCTTTATCTACACTTATTTTCACATTTGCTATATATTTACTTTTGAAACAATTGTATTGTTATTTCTACAATGAAATCAGATATAGAAGAATACAGAGAAAGAAAAGCTGACTGTAATTAAGATAATCATCGACTATCATTGGGAATCAGAAATTTTTCGAAACAAATCGTTCCACAAAACATATGACTGGCATGGGCGAGGACAATGGCTTTGAGGTACCATCATATCTCTTCTAGGCCGAGACAGTGTGAATTTCATAGGCTCTATTGAGGAACCAAAGGTACGGCGTGGTAAAATCCAACACTCAAGTGGATTTTATTTCCATTAAACTATGTATAATTTGATGAATCTTGGTGAACTAATTACAAATATATAGTATTTATTTCAATTTCGATTACTGCCTCAGCTAAAAATAACTTTTTTTTTATAAAGGTCAAAGTACAAATAAGGTTGAAGTAGCAGAGTCAGGAAATCAATTATTGAGTTATAAATGCACTAAATCATCAACAGACTATATACTAGCATCAATGAAAACTGATAAGTATAATTCTTAAACCATAATTTTGGAAGTGGATACAATCCAATGTTGATGAATTGCAGAGATTTGCATGATCACCGTCACAGAAACAAAAAAACAAACGATAAATGTAAGGATATGTCAATAGAGAAGTTATCTCCTAAATAAATATACGTATTTTAGGCATGTTTTTCAGCTTAAGATTCTCAGCTTCTTCTTAATAGTAAAACTGTGTCAAAAAGATTTTGAAACGATATTTATGATGATAACTCAATGAACTCGATCGTAGCGAGCAAAAAAAGTCAACAAAACCTAAATGTTGTCAGAATTTCGAATTTTCAGCAGCTTAGCAAAAATCTATCTCAATAATATGATTGATAAACGGAGATTCGGAACATTAAATTCAATTTAATCTATATGTAAAATACAGACGCATAAAGCTCTATACTGATTCGTTGTTACGTAATGAATTACCTTATCCATAAAAATAAAAGTAATACATTTTCAAAACTATTTACCTTTAATCTTTTATAAAGTGTTTTTAGATAAAGTTGATCATCTAATGTGAGCTGATTGACTACATGCACGAAAATTTCAGCGGAGTTAAGAGCAATCTCTTGGATAAAAGAATCACTAACTTGACGTTCGTATGATTTTTCTGAAAATGTATTTTCCTGATATTCGACCGGTGTTCGCGTTCCAGCTGTATCAATAAGTGCTATGGGCGTATCTTGTGTCTGAGATAGAAATGGTAACGATACACTCAATCCATTTGTACGTTCAACGAATGAATGACCCAGATTAATATTAGCTAACAAGCGTAAGATATACGTCTTTCCAACATTGTAAGGCGCACCAAATTCAAAGTTTAAGCACTATTTTATTTTTGACTTTAACACATATGTTCTGATAGAGGAAGGCGAGCTGAATCTGAATATCACCTTATTTTTGCTTTACAAACATTCCTNTATACAACAATATCAACGAATTTATTTAGCCTATTCAGAATGGATATTGAATAATTTTGAATTAGCATCGATTCAAAAGAAATTACAAGAAAATCACAAAATAGAAGAAATACCCATCTGTTATGAACGATGTCCAAATCAATGGTTCAGTAAATTATCAACAGAAACAGAATTTACTGAAGAATGGATTGTTGTTTTGAATCGAGCCGGTGTCGGTTGTCGAGAAATAAGTAATGCTGATGAATTAGTGCAAGTACTATTGAGAGCATTTCCCGTTCATACGAATCCTTATCTACATGTTTGGTCAAAACAATTAAATTTCGATGATAATCGATATGAAACAGCACGCATGGCTCGATCAATTTGTGTTCTTATTGGAGTTCATAGAGCTGGATTATCGAATACTCTTTTCAAGCGACCGGGCACGATTCTTTACTAAATCGATCCACCAGGTTGTCGTCTATTATAGTTCAATCTTCGACGTTGGACCGAGGTATTTAATCTACAATATGGACTATGGAGTCCCGGAGATAAAGGTGATTATTGTTCATGTGAAGCAGCAACTAAAGTAAACCTAGACGAAAACGTCAATAATGTGATCGATCTAATTCAAAATGAAATTCAATATCGAAGTGGTTATTTATCACGAGCACTCAACATTATTTTGAAAGAATAAGAATTATTGAAGTGGCTAACTATAAAGGTCAATGAAAGATTACTCGATACAGGAATTTGTTTTTGGAATTGTTTGAATCTCGTGAAATAAAATCTCACATTTACCATTTATTGATTGACTTTTCTTGAAGGAGACCTACGTTTTATAAAACAATGTGAATATTGTTTTTCAGATATGGAATCATTCGTTTTAAAATTTTTGAGTATCCATTTTGCATTGTATGGTTTGTAAACTATATGACAACGTCGAAAAATAGCTGTTCTTTATGATGATTGCTATACAAATCGGTGTAAAACGGTCAAGTATAGTGATTGATAAACGACATCTGCTATAATCATTGTATAGTTTTCAAGAGTAACAGGTACCGTTCGATCATCGTTCTTCCATGTCTCTATGAAACGCATTCATGAGATCAAAACATATTATACTCTTTTTTCTTTAAATTTGTTGTTTTTGTTGATGTTCATAATCAAAAAACATCTGCGAAAGCATAAACATATTACAATTTTCTGACGAAAATTTGATTTTTTTTCAATATGTATCTACTGATGTTTAATTTTAGAATCATTTGATTACGAAATTGTTTTCTCTAACTTGGAAGATGGCACAGATCTAGTATGTGTGTCATATCAATTCAATGCTTATTATTGACTTTTATTTTATTTTTCTTTCACGAAAATTAATTGTTTTTCTAAAATAGAATAAAGTATTTGAAAAAAAAGTGATATTGAATTTCTATTTATCGAAGAATATGACTAAAAGTATCATTCATATATTAGAAATAGAAAAGGATTGATTCTCACGCCTATGAAACCCATCATCATGATGACGATTCATCGTTTCGTATTCATTCTTTTCAGGTAACTAAAAGTCTCTTGTTTTTTATTTATTTATCTAATATTCAATCAGCATCTATTGTAGCTTGTCAGGTTTGATTTTTATTTTGTTTCATTTGTCCAACTATTAAAATTTAGCTATTCAAGTTCAAGCAAATTCTCAATCGTGTCATGGAATGTCTCAATATGATCAATGTTCATTGAATAGTATATGTGGATGTCTGCATACAATAAATAATATTGATAACAGTATTTGTGTTTCTCTATGGTTGACTTGTTCAGAATTGGTTTCATGTGCATCTCCAAATAATATGTGTTATGCACCTGATCATATCTGTGTTCATCATCCACAATGTTATGATCATCCTGTTTGTTATCCTTTGTCACAGGCTAATCAACAAATTTGTCCACCAATGATAAGTAAGCTATATAACAAACAATATTCCAAATATTCATATTATTATTCCTAATTTTTGAATATACTACCGAAAAAAAAAATTATGGTTGTTCTGCTTTATTTTTCGATTACAATACACAATTTTTTTTCAATCAGATAACATTTCTTCACTTTTGATGCCTTCTACTTTCTGTCTTACATATATCAAAATTAAAATACTGAGGAAACATTGTTCATCTCGTAATATTATTCTGTAACATAATGTCCATACAATTAAAACGTCATAGGAGAAAATTTTTAATATAAATGATTTCTTTTTGAAAATAGTGACGAATGATACAACGACTACAAGCACAAGTACTACATCATATTTTAAATTTATGTACAAAAGATAAATATTTTATTTTCTCTATTCATTTAGCTTCGTCACCACCATTGAAGCCCAGTGATGGTATTTGTGAAAATGCAATATGGTCTACAAATGGTACTACTGTAGCTGGTAGTGACGGTCTTGGATCTGCACTTTATCGATTGTATGGTCCTTGGGGACTTTTTGTTGATGACTATCAATCTGTTTATGTGGCAGATTCGAAGAATCATCGTATAGTTAAATGGATAAAAGGTGCTTCGAGTGGTCAACTAGTCGCAGGTGGAAAAGGAAGTGGAAATAATAATGATCAATTGAATCATCCATCGGATGTTATTGTCGATAGTGATGGAACAATTTACATTAGTGATACGGAAAATCAACGTATTCAACAATGGTTTCAAGGTGCTAAAGTTGGAAAAACCATTATTAAAGATATATTGTCTCCTGTTGGCATATCACAAGATAAACAAGGATTATTCTATGTATCTGATTGGAGAAAAGGTGAAGTGAGAAAATGGCGTATTGGTGCGACAACGGGACAACTGGTTGCATCAAGACTTGGTGGTCCACGATTTTTGTTCATTGATCGAAACCAATCTATTTACGTAGCCGAGGAAAGACGTGATCGAGTAATAAAAGTCGATGATACTTCAGCTACACAATTTTCAATTCTTGCGGGTGGATCTCTCGGCGATGGTTTAGATCAATTGTTACAACCGTACAGTGTTATTGTTGATGAATTAGGCACTCTCTATGTTGCCGATACTAATAATCACCGAATAATGCGTTGGACACGAGGAGCTAAATCTGGCAAAGTAATAGCTGGCGGTCGTGGTATAGGTTCTCGATATGATCAACTTAGCTATCCACATGATCTATCATTCGATCTTAGCGGTAATCTCTACGTAGTTGATTATGGAAATCATCGTGTGCAAAAATTCACTATTGATAAGAGTTTATGTTAATAAATTCAAATTAATTAATTGTTTCTACACCTCAACCTTAATGGCATTGAGAATCTTGAACGTTAGAAGAAAAGAATAAATATATTAATTTCGAAGTGAATATATCAATAAAACCTTCACTAAATTCTCTATCGTTGAAAATCACAACAAAATCTTTTCCAATTCAATCTAACATGAGAAAACAGTCGGTAAAAAGTAGGAATTTCTCCTGTTAAATTTCTTATTGAATGCTGTGAGCATTAATAACTGAATCACTGAATTTATTCGAAAAAAAAGCGACAAACTTTATCATATAAAAAGGAGGTTTTTTAGAAGAATAATAGAATTGTTTTATGTAGAATTGAAATATTGAAAGTTGTCAACATACAAGTAAAGAAATGATTATTAATCAATGGATAGATTGTTGATCGAGCGTGTCAATATTCGATTATGGATGCCAAAATGAGCTCCATCCAAACATATGACGAGTCTTTTTCCGCTGTAATTCAATCTAATTGTTCACTTTGTGTTCGTCATTCATGAACGATGACCAATCACCTACAATGCCTTTCCGAATAAATTGAATCGAATCTTCTGATTGTTGTCTATGTTTCGCAAGAAAGCTATTTAGATTTGAATCAAAATTCTTTTTCATATATTCAAATGACGAATGTTTTTTCTATACAATAGATTAATTGATTCTTATCACTCATATCAATGTTAAGAAATTAATCTACTTTATCAATGACACCACAAAGATCATTTTTCATCTGTTCGTATGAAACCAACAAGACATTTTCATCATCTTTGTGTGACCATAACGAATCTAAATGATCAAAATAATCAATATAAGGTGTTTGACCATTGATAAATAATTGAAAAAATGTCGAAAAATCGATTTGTGAAAATCGAAATGCTGAATTTGAAGATAAGATTTGATAACAAGAAACACAAACATCTTTAGGTTGACGAATAACACAAATATATTTTGCTTGAGGATGATATGGAACACAATAAAATGGATAATGAGTTTGAATAGCACCGGGATGAATCATTGTCGTCTTAACAATATCTTTTCCAAATCGATCGAGAAATTGGATCTTTGCCAAATAATCACCCGTATCTTCATCAAATGGTTTTCCATCAGTTAATAAACCATAAACAATAGTTGAGATCCAATGTGTACCTGACCTTGGATAAGTAAGAATAAATATATCATCAGATTGTGCTTCATACTCAAGACCTGAACGAAATAAATCGACATCAAACAGTGCAGGCACACGTAACCCATTGACTATGGATATTGTTTCGTTATTCTTCGTTTCGACAGTCATTTGAGAGATAGAACAGTTTACTTATTGACAATATATTAATAATAAACACAATCAATCTCATTTATATAGCAAATAAAAGGGAGAACGAGTATGTACTTCATAATCCAATCATTTCTGACACATGCATGTGGGACTTCTATGCATGACTAATTTACCTTCAATTTTTTTTTCTCCAGTAACGTATACAAGAGCAGTTTATCATGCATTTCTTATGAGAATAATCGTCATTCATTATTGAGACTTATTGCGATGATTTAAACTTTCAAATAAATTAATCACATTTTCCTAAAATAAACTTGTTTATTTTAATTGTATTATAAGTTTGAGCATCCAACCAAAAAATAATTCACTTCTTTGATCAAAACAAAACAACACTTGATCAATCTTCGAAATCAATTATGATATAAAAAACAAACCGGTTCTTTTTATCAGAATAAATAGCTGATTAGAAATATTTTTTTAATCCAGAGCTTTTTGAATATGAATTCAATGATCAACCATAGAATTCCTTTTCGAAATAAATTTCTTTTGAAGACACCAATTCATTTAGTATGTTAAAGCATTCGACTATAGTCACACGTATGTACCAAGGAAAGCAAGAAAATTTATCGAGATTTAGTTCAATGAGTCTCATGAGCAAAGATCAAGTTTTCATGGATTTTGTCTAATAGATGAATAGTTTAAAAGACTCAATAAATTTATACAGAAAACTAATTTTTGAAAAACATTTTCAAGCGATTTTTAGTTCTATTGAACTTTTCAATGAATAATATTTCCGACCAAAATTTCGTTTAAGACTCAAAATAAGTTTAGCTGAATGGAAGTTGCTGAAGAAGAACATATTTGACAATTTTAACTTGTTATTTCATCCAACACCTAATTATCTCATATGTTCCGTTTAACCGATTCACAATAACAATAATCAATAAGAAAATTATTAACACACCGATCTTATAGTATATATACAGAGAAAAGTAATTCATGTTTTGATTGAAAATTGGGGGTCTGGTTGTCAGTGCAGAAATTAACTCATCCACACCTCACACCCTGATACCAATGATTTCATTGTGAAATTCATTTCGATTTTTGTCAAACTCGCACAATACTTTCATATTGTAATTATATGAAGGTAATGCGTTTGAAATCAATTATCTAACAATAAAAGATTAAGAAGATATGCAATAGAAATTAATTCTTATATCAATTCAATAGTATGTTAAGTACAACATTCAATTAAATATAATGTCTCAAAAAAATATCTAGAAAAATATTTTTGAACAAAAGAAAGTTTACGAAAAATCTAGTATCACAAATCATATGAATTGTTCGATACTAAGGTACACACGGGCAAGTCAAAACAAGATGTTGAATTGCCGTTGTACTATTTTTATATTTTTCTATCGCATGTTTTAACTCTGTCACACTTTCTTTCAACTTCGGATCTTTATATTCATATGTAACAATATTTAATCCAGGAAAATTGAATAATAGCAAGTTTTTCAAATTAATCAATAGATAAGCATTTGGAGCATAAGTACCAGATTCATTATCGAATACTAATTCCCATTCATCATCACAATTATTCCATCCATATTTTGGACGTGGATGAAATTGGCCAGCATAACGAACATATTCTGATGCATTAGCTAATAGTGCATGTTTACTTGCGACATCTGCAAAAACTTGAGCATCAGTTTCACTAAAACGCCATGTATTGTCATCAATAACATATGTATAAATACATGGTTTAATACGCTTTGTTGTTCGATCTGAGAAAACAAATTTCCAAAGATCATCAGCATTATTTAATTGTCCATTTTCATTATGTTTTAATGTTCGACCATAAAGTACTTTATGCGCTAATTTGAGTGTACTTTGTGACGCTAATGAAAGAAGACAATTGCCAAATATCATTTGTGCTACTTTATATTTTCTATTCCAATATTGACGTTCTTGAGGTTTAAAAAAAACGGAAATTCTTCGTATTTGTATTTTCCATGTTGAATAAATGCAATCAGGATTAAGCATAGTTAAACAACCAACAGCAAACGAATCATGACGAGAATATCGACAAGGACCGTCAAACGTATAACGAGGAAGATGTTTTGTTTCTTCTGATGATTCCATTGATTGAATAGATAAATGAAAAAAACCATGGTAACGATTGAATGGACCAATTACTTTATGACCTGTTATTGAAGCATGATAATTGATTAAATTAAGAACCTCAAATTTACCAATGTAATCGTCAAAAAGTTTTGCATCATCTTTATCATAGATTTTAACTGTAAGTATAGCATTTAAAGGAATATTTCGAACAATCCATTTTTCATCGTCCCATTTAGGTGTTGCCGTATTTGATAGAATAGTTGATCTAGAATTTCAACATACAATTAAAAAACATAATAAAATATATGTTTAGCTTTAGAAACCTGATGACTTTCTAATGTTACTTAATTGTACTGATTTTATTATCTACGAAAATAGAGGTATCATTGAAAAAAGTTTCTCGCTCAATTCATTTGAGTTAAGTTTGATATTTCTGCTTAAATCGAGTAAAAAATCACACTCACGTAAATGATATTTGATCATCAATTTTTGCTATAAAATACGGATCAGCATGTCCAAAAACATCCATCTTTGGTATGTCCTGAAAGAAGAAAATATATTGTAAAATGAAGTTAATATCAAATTAACCTCGGCAGAATGAAATTGAATAATAACATCATAATTGCTCTGTGAATCGTCTAAAGCAAAGAATGTTGTTTCTATCAGTGTGTCTTTAAGACCAGAAGAAATTGAATAAGAAGACATTATTTAAATTATCTGAACAATAACAACAAACATTTTGAATAAAACAAAATGATTAGTCAATCAACTCACTAGGTTTTAATTAATATTTGATGTATCAAGAATAACTTTCCTGCTGGCACTATTTTTTTCCTTCTGCTGTTTTGCAATTTTCAAGCAATTCGACTAAAATGTAATAAGGCACGCTGTAGATTTTTTTTTTCTTTTACACTTTTCTTTCTCCTACTTTGCACCAGCTAATATTCCCTACTGTGGTGTCGCACACATACATAATTTCATGACTGCATTACTATCATTATCCTTCTTTTTTTACAGCCGAAAAGAAAAGAAAAGAAATGTGAATCTGTGTGCAAAAGCGCTTTTTTGAACGACTGGACAGGGTCTTCGTCCACGTTGTTCAGCAGCAAAATGAAGGTTGAGAAAATTTTGGAACTTGCATAAATGCAAAGAGAAAAGGCCTCTCAGTCGATACTAACCTTCATATATAAAACATGTGACGGAAAATTTTTCATGTCATTGTCTGAGAAAAGTTTGACCACACAGTGACCACTTCGATATAAGTTGAACGAATCAATTTTAGGTAGATAGATAAAGCTCCTTGTCTGATTTTGAACAATGAAAATCGCAGCTCTCTAGCTGTTTTCTTATAAAAGTTATTCTACTTACCACCGAGTCCATTATATTTTTGAATAGATATTAGTATAGTTATTTCATCCGTTTTCCTCCTTTTCTCCCAGACATTGCAACGAATCGAACGGAAATTTTTTGTACAGCAACTAGCGCTGAATCAGGGTGCATTTATTTTTGCTTTTCTTGAAATAATGTTCTGATAACTTTTGGCACATCTTACAAAATTTGCCCTAGGCAGAAAAAATGCGCATACACTCCAATTTGATCCTAGTTGTCACAAAAGAAATTCAGCCGTAAATAATGAGTTTTGACTGTTTTCAAAGCGGAAAAATTCAGGCCATTCTTGGCATCTGAGCTGCTTATATCTCATAGTAGAAGAAAGCATCTGGAAAGTTTGAGTCTATGACAACCTTTACTGTACTAGTCGAAATTTATCTACTTTGAAAATTTCATAAGTTTTGGTCTAGCCGTTCTTTAGAAACCCAGAGAAAAGGGGAAGGGATGCCCTTATTGACGTTCGCTAAAAGCATCTGAGAAAACAAGGTATCATTACGTTACTAAGTAAAGACTTATAGAAAGTAAGAGTGTGGGTATGGATGTAGGGGTGACAGTCTGTTTAGGGTAGGTATTGATCTTCGCCTCAAAGCAATCACACTCACACCAAGAGCCACACAACCATACTTACACTCACAGCGACATGCACACTCATCCACATCCCATGTATGTTTCAGCAGGTATGGATGTGTATGACTCTACTTATTGTTGTCTATAAACTTCGAATAGGTTGCTGATCGACGATTTTTTCCATTAACATAACCATGCTATTAGTAAACCATTGTAGAGTCGTGAATCTTATAATAGCTTTGAAGATAACTTTGTATTAAATATATATATGTGTTGTAAGATTTCGCACTACATAAAAAATGCCAAGTAAAAACTAATGTACGTTAGCAAATTGTATGCGGAGTACTTTAACAAAGTAATTACAAGGTAACACTTGATATTTCTTAGTTCTAGGGCGTGAGTATGAGTGTGGGAGTTAGTTAATAGAAGATCCATACCACATCCATCCACCCACAATACTCAAGCCCACATGCATCCATCCAACCAAGAAAATATTTGATATTGTTCGACAAGACTCATTTGAAACTATATGAAAAACAAACGAATGTGAAATGTGAAGGAAGAGATCGGATTTGTTTTTGAATTAATAAACAATTACAAATGTGATTCAATGTGTCGTTAGCGACTTAGAATGCATGGATGAGACAAATCTTTTTTTTCTGGAATAAGATTCAGTGATTGCGGATAACGATGATCATTTCTCATCAACATATTGTGAAACTTTTTCGAAACAAAATTCAGATTTAGTTGAGAACGATTCTGTATTCATCAACTGATTGAGAAAAATGTTCGACCAATTGCTGTCAGAGATTTCGAGGCTGATTGCAAAGATTTGATTTGATTTGTTTTATTCAATGATATTGCCATGATAATCAAACTCAATTTGAGCTCAAATTCTTTCATTCGTTAACAATATTTGATCAAGGTCAATTAGTTGAACAATTTTTTTCGTGTTCTAAATAAAAAATTGGAGTCGCTTTTCTCTATCTCACATAGGTATCGAATTATCATTCGAAACTCAATTGGTCATGGAAGAATAAGACAAGTTATTTCAGAAAAAAACTCGAGAACGAACAAGATATATGTCATTCATCGGAAAAAGTACAATTGTCTCCCAAAATTCATCAGCCAGTTACATTGAATTGTGCTGTGGTAGAATAACAGGTTAATGAAAGTATAACTTTCAAACTCTATTATTCATCGTAATCGATGTTGTCGGTGGTTCGTGAAGTTTGGCTCGTAACATTCGCTTGACTTTGGGTACTTGTTTTCGCACCTTGATAATACCGTTGGTAGGCGACTGTGTCGATTGTGGCATCCACGTAAATGAGCAAAAAAAGTACATGATCATAATATACTGCGTAATAAGCAGCCAAAAGGTAAATTGGTAAAGAGTGCGATTGCAATATGAATTCTCATTAGTACGTTCCGTAAATTGCACTCGTTTCACTACGCTGAAAACCCATACATTGCCCACGATGAACCAAGCAAAGAGGAACAAGCCAAGAAGACTGATCAGAACGGAAATAACACCAATAAAGACATACTTGAATTTGACAAAGCACAGAATATAGATGGTAGCAAGCAAATGGATGCACAGAAGCAGGATGCCGGCAGCGCCTTGAACGATAAGAAAAATAGGAATGGATGGCTGGATGGGACAGTTGTGGATATGAGGAATGCCGAAGATGAGTGACAGGATAGCGATCGAGAAGGGCAGAATGAGCTGAAAGTGAAAGCGTTTCGATTTGAATAGTCCAGTTGTTTTCTTTATCACTTTGGCAGGACCAAAAGGAGCAGAGCGAGTTTGTGAGGCATTTATAGTTGACACATTTTGATCGCCCATGACTGCTCACTAGACGGGAAATAGAGAAAGTTGTTGGTGGTAACTTTTATTTTCAATTTGATATAAAATACAACAATTCTTTTAAAACTAATGCTGCTTTGATTTAATAGGAAATTCAATCTGTGTCAAACAAATTTTGACTTGGTCGAAAATATCAGAAGATGAGGCCATCACAGCTAAAAGACTTCACATGCCATTTAATGAAAACATGCTTTTGAATGTCGAAGTGCAATTTTAGTCAATTTATAAACTCAGATAATCAGGCTTGCTAGTAAAAGACACTAGCTTTGAAAAGCATAGCTTAGAAGAAGTAGACCTTTGTTTCAAAGCAAAGATAAATAATATATTTTAACGAAGAAATTTTCATATCGATGAGTCTCAAAACGTCTACTGAAAACAATACGTTAAGAAAGAACAAATGACTCTATGGCTAATAATGCAAAGTCAACATATAATAGACCAATATTAGCAAAGAATTCTGGAGTCAAAAGACTTGTAGCACAAATGAAAATGTAAGTTTAACTGAGCGAAATGTAACACTTACACTTTGAACAAAATATAGGCAGCTATGAGTCGAATAAGAAAGCTTTTTATTCTATATCGACTTACAGGCCACGATTGTGTAAGCTCCTCTCTTTGATTTGACCCTATAAAGAACTCAAGCATTCTTATTCCAACATGAGAAAGCATATATAGGCATAGGCTGGGGAAAGTGTAAACTTGAAAGGCTTGAGCTTTGACCCAAAACTACGACTCTAAGGTGTCGTCACACTCGAATCTAGCGTTGTTTGGCTATGCGAAACTTTTCTCAGTGCAGAAATTGAAACTTTTTATATGTTTATTTATCTATTGAGATGAAAAAAAACTGAGTAGGCAATCAAGTCTGCTATATGTCTCCATGGTTCATTAGCGACATCTTTCATTTTATTTACGCAAAGTGCTATGTAAAATAGATCCCCATGAAGTGGTATGCTCAAAAGGTAAAATATCTGCATTCAAGCATCTATCTTCTATTTCCTGATAATATCATTCACTATATTTGATTGCATGAAAATGCAGCTCTAAAAATTGAGGCTTTTGGGAAAATATTAAATTAACATAGTCTCAAAAAAATTGATTTTCCATACTCATCTGAATTCCTAACTCTCGCATTTTCGGCATGCATTCAACATTATTAATCTATCAGGCTGTTGCAAAATTATAGTAACAGTCTTTCTGATAAAAGTATGGTTTCATATTCATATGCATATGTAGATGCTGATCATACAAAAACTAGTTTTCTCAAGCATAGTGTTGTTGTTAATATTTTAGGTTATAATCAGTAAATGTCATGAAAACGATCCGGTGGATCGATTCTTGCATGTTTTTCGAAAAATCAAAAGGTCTAACAGCATCTCTTTCAACATAAGAAATTGTCTTAGTAGATTTAAATGATATTTCAAAAAGTTCTCAATATGAAAACAGGGGAAAATCTCCTTCAACGCAAGTGTCTCTTTGTGCCAATGCATCAAGTTTATCCAATCTTAATAACTTTTCGAAAAAGTTTTATGAATCCGAAAATGTGCCAAGATCTCTCAATTGTTCTAATAAACTATCGGATACAGATGTTAGAATCTTGCCGTTGCAAACAACTGATTCATCTAAATAGTCTGAACCAGTTGATTGCCTGAATTTTGCTCAGTTAACATGCCAAGGTAACAGTTAAAAAGTCCGCTTAGAATAAAAAACAAACTTGTACTGGATCTCACTTGATTTTGAAACTTTCCTCAGCCCGTGTAAATTGCAAATACCATTTTAGTTAAATTTTTTCGCCGAAAATCGACCTTTTTACAGATAGTTTCGAGCACGAAAATGTTTTCACATATTCGCAATATTTTTTCGCAAGAATTAGTCAAAAAGTAGATTCATATATTAAGACGAAGATTACCTGATTATCTAATTTGTTGATATTCCAATTTAAATTAAGAGAAATCAACGAGGATCTAAGGCGTTGTATCGAAAAAAATTGTTTGCGTGCGTACAAAATATCGATATTATGCTGCAATGATGTCATCATGAGGACGATATTTCCTTTTTCTTTCTCTCTCGTCGCAGGTGACTGCTTGAAAGCACATGTCTCCCCTATTAATGACGTCAACCATAAGGATGCTTGCACGATTCTGTATGCTTTGATTACATTCAGTTTCATTAATGACAAAAAAAATACGTCGTTTCGATACATGATCATGCGAAGTTTTGGGCACTTGCAACTCAATGATGATAGCATGAATCAAGTTTTGAAGTTCTTTTTCCTGCACATTCAATGTAGATGACGAAGAAATATTCATTCTTTCTTTTTAGGTGAATTTAGCAACCCACTGTAGCAACAGTAGATTGCTCTATGTTACTTTTCGTCACTGCTGCCATTGTAATCGTTATTGAGTGAATATGCAAGTTGTTCCATAGACTTATCAAATACTGTATACATTAAATCTTCTGTTATTTTTTCGAAATCTAGGAAGTTAAGGGAAATTCTATTGTAAATCTATTTAATTTTTCATAATCCTCAACATCTCCGATACTCATTTTGAAAACAAGCAGGTAAAAACTTAACGGTAACAAAATGCCAATTACTTAAGCACCCTAAACAGGTGTGGGTGTGAGTATTGATGGCGAGATGACTCACATTCACACCCACACATCCTAACGATCTCAATGTCTCTTGCAACACAAGTACCTCATAATGAACCAACTTCTACATTACCTAAACAATCAAGACTCAATGAAACTGTGATCGATGATTTTTAGCATAGAGAAGATTACTTTGATTAGTATGTTTCTTGTGTTTTCTTGTACGAATGTGCTCATTGGCAGAGCTCAACGTGTTTTATTTTACTTTTTTTCTTGACCACGAAGTTTTTTCAATGAGCTTCAGAATAATTGGTTCACATTTTTTGAGTTTTTAATTGATATATGAAGAATAAAGTCTTTGCTATGTGAAAAAAAGAAGAAACATTCTTTAACTAATGTAACTCCGACGTAGAGTTCGATTTACAATCGAATCGAGGAGCATCTTCGCATGTCACTAACCATCAGCTATCCCTCGCTCTCATCCTATGATTTTGTTCTCGTAAACTGCGAATGGTAAAAATTGCTTTCAGTTTTTTCATCACAATGGGCAAAAGAATGACGTTTCCGTATGACCAATAAATGAGCACACTCGTATATAAATCATTTGAAAAGGATATAGACAGTCCGGCAACTTGTGCAATAAAGTTCAGTGAAATTGGTGCACTATAGAGCAGATAGACGGTGGATATGGTTAGTAGTCTTATGCTGTCTTTTCGATATTTGTGTGATTTAATCGCTTGATGTAGTCGATGTCGAGAAAGTATAACTCGTACAAACAGTGTAAAATAAACAAGTGCAATGAGGACGGATGGAAGAACTTGATGAGCTATCAATTCAATACTATATAGAGAAAAAACTAAAGAGAACTCAAATGCGTTGCTGCAAGGATAAATAAAATCGATAGCAAAATACCAAACGAAAAGGTACAGGCAGATGACGATCATTTGTATACAGTGAAAACAAATTCGTCCTTGTTTTCTATTGAATACATTCGAGTAAACAATAGATAAATGTCGTTCAAGTGATGTTCAAGCCTTACAAAACAAACTAGAATAATAAGTAAATGCGTCGATGAATTTCCAAATAATATATTTTGCAATGGTCGATGGAGAAACAATCCCTGTATATAAATGTGAAGAACCATCGAGACTGAATAATATAATTGAACTCAATTAACTATAAGTATAACAAAAATAACATGAAAACCGAATGTTTTATTCTCAAATCTTTTGATAAGAAAAAAAAATAATACCCAAAGACGACATAAGCAGTAAAAGATAATATTTTGCATGTGTACAGGACTGCACAGACAATCTCCGTATATATGCTCGGTTGTTAGATGTGTCTTTGGCCGATGAAATGGTGGTCGTATTGAGAACCGTCGCTATGGCAATGATTGTCATCGTTCAGCCTAAAATATAGAAATGATGTGTACAACTATTGACAGTTTGATGATGAAATCAATGTTTGCTACGATTTCTCCTATTCAAATGAGCCATTTCGAGCGTATCTAGATAGACGTGACGCGAAAGATGAGTCTCAACACTTGAGTTTCAATAGATTATTAAAGTAAAAAATAATCATTTTTTATAAATTTTATCAGAAAAAACTAGAAATTACATAGAACTCTCGTCTCTCTAACGACTCTTGTCATATATATATCATTGCAAATTAATAATTAAGTGTTGTAGGGGTGAGTACTGGAAATAGTGAGGATATGTTTGTCGGTGATTGCAGATATTGGCGTTTATTTGGGCGCTCTCTAAAGTGTGACTGTAGATGTTCCTCGGTAAATTCAGAAATCAGTGCCACACTCTTTGTATACGAATGAATAAAGATCTTGTAGCAGAAGAACGTGATAATTCGATTTCTACTGAAAAACTGAAAACTGGAACTGTACATTTGAGAAACATTTCTTATACGAACAAATAGATGAACAACTATAACACATAATTATTAACTGGCAAGGATGTACAAGTTAAGAATAGTTAGAAAGGCGAGAGCTTTATTTAATCTCTAGTTCTTTGTAACAAAGTTTATAAAGATCATGTTTTTTCCTTTGATAAGGTGTTAAGGCACAGATGTCAGGGAACTCAACTGTCGGGACTCATCTGGATGTGAATGTGGGTGTGAATGTGATTGAACTGAAAGTTCATACCCGCATGCACGCAAGCGCTGCGAGACGCACACATCCTTGCAACAAACTCGAAACGTTCAAAAAAGTTTCCATTTCGTTACAAAATTCGAAACTTCTTTTAATTTCCATATCATGTACGAAACTCTTTCTATATTTTGTTACCGTGTTCGAAACTTTTTTCAAGTTTTGCAGCTCGCACGAAACCATTTTTTGTTTCGTATGGTACCTTATTTTTTTCAGAGCATAAGCTAAATAACATAAATAAAAATAGTGAATCATTTACCATTTAATTTGTCAATAATGGCTTGTTCAATGGATACTTTTGGATCGTTCCAATGGACATTTATTTCAAGGCTATTCAGCTTCTTCATCAGTTCTTCGTCAACGCCACGGTATATAAAATTTTCTGTTGATAGTGCTTCCGGTCTATGGAAGCTTGTAACACGTTCTCGGGATTGCATAACCTTGGTGTAGACTCGTTTTAGCATCCGATCTTCATACTGGCTAATTGATGAATGTAGATCTTGATTGTTCTGTGCGATCATATCTACCAGCTCAACAGCATCTAGCAGGGCTTGATTGGCACCTTGGCCTTTGAAAGGAGACATTGGATGAGCAGCATCACCAACGAGTGCAATTTGAATACCATTCAATTTTGGATCTGAAATTGGGACTAGATCTCTATCAAATGCTGGTATTCCCATAAGCAGATCCAATTGTGTTCTTTCAATCATTTCAGGTATTGGTGAGTGCCAATCAGCACATTTTTCTAGCAGCATCTGCTTCAGTGATCCTGGATCACGTGATAATTCAGTTGCTAGTGGTAGGGTAGCAGGGAAGGACAGCTGCCACATAATGGATTGTTCTGGTCTGGATTTCGAAAATGGCATAGCAAAAAGTCTAAAGCATCCATCCATAGTTTGAAATACACGATCTTTTGTAAGGAAATGATCGATACGTCCAGTAATTCCTAATACCACCAATATACCCAAATAATTGAGTGGAGCATCTGCAAGAGGACTATACTTGAAAGAACGTACTAAACCATTGATTCCGTCAGCTCCAATAACCAAATCAACACCAGTTACTGTATGGTCTTTGGTAAATGAAACTTTGCGTAGGACACGATCAATCTGAACAATACGATGATCCCATTGAATACCTTGGGAACCTAGCGGATGCAAATAAATGTATCTGTTCATGAGAATCCTTCGTAATTCTTGTCTTTCAATATGTAAATTATGCTTCTTCCTAGATTTTGGCTGATTGTCCTGTTCTGGCCAAAATGCAGTGCCAAAAAAACCGATCATACTTCCATATTTGTCAAAAATGTAATGTGATCTAGAAGGAGTATCTAGCGAGTGTACTTGCTGGAACACTTGTAACCGTTTCAGTGCACTGATTCCTTGCAGAATTGTCAGTCCATAGCCTTGGCGTCTACTGTCCATACCTATGTCTCGTTCATAAACTGTAATATCTGTGTATCCATACTGTAGTAAGGCGATTCCGGCTGCAAATCCACCAAGACCACCACCAACGATCACAATTTTCATTGCAAGAATAGGTTGATCTGAAAAAAAAAGACGAAAACCTCTGCTACTTCCTCTTAGATGTGTCTGATGGATAAATAGACTGAACATGTGCCATCGGAAGGTAAAATTCTACTTCAATACAATCATTAGAACAAGTCAATGAGAAAAACCAGATGAACTAAGGACATCTAAAGAACTTTCTAATTCATCTTTCCTGTCATAATTTCGAAAATGGCGCGAATACTCTGAATCCAATGAATGAAAATACAACAACAATCTTGTAGCCAAAAATACTCACTTGGGATCATTAAACACAAAGATTTCCAATGTTTTTCGGAATTTGATTAATTTTTACTTTTTAGCCTTTCAGCCGGAACCATCATCACAGGGGAAATTCACCACTTTCTCCCGCAACAAGACCGAAGAAGCATTCATGCAACTGCTTGCTGGCAAAGGCATATATTAGTCTTGCAATGAGAACAGGTATTTGAAGAAATCATTAACTACCGCACTTATCGAGCGTTAAACAGTATGTCAAGGTGATGCGTACGTTATACTAAATACCTGAAGGAGAAGCGTCGGTTTGAACGAGAAGAACAACATCGTCAATAGGCTAAATGTAGGAATGGCTTTTTTGAAATACTTGATACACATTTCTCGGTTCCATCTGATACTTATGCTCAGATAAACGAAAGTATGAGCCAACAAAAGGCCGTAGAAGCGTTTAGGTCAGAAGAACGATGAAAAGCACTCCCATCTGATCGTGAATTGGAGAGTCTATGAGATGACTGGTTGTGGGAAAAGACAAAGAAAGAACGACAGTTTGGACATGAAATGCGCTAAGAACACAGAAAAAAAGCTTGTAACAGTTATCAGTCCACTCTTAGTTTTTATTGTTAAAACAAAAAATTCATAGGATTACTAATTCTATATCAGTTCTTCTGCCATCAATAACTGTTCTTGAAATATGTACATTCTTACTTACGAGGGAACCTTTTCAGTTGTCCCCCTTCAAAAGTTATGAACATTTTTATTTTACTTCTATAGTACTTAAGAGTGGGCCGCGAGATCATCTACCAGTTTTATCAGAAGCTAGCCACCACTCAAATTGATTTTCAATTTAGATATCTCAAACGATAGATCATTATTCGAAGCATCTAAATCCAAAATATTAGCTCTTTGTGACTTACCTATGGAAAAATGCCAAGATCTACCGATGACACACCCTTAGACACTTGATGAAAATATGGAGAAGTTTGAGTGCTGTTAATATTTTACCTTTTTTCCTGCATTTGCTCATTGCTTTGAGTTTCGAGACATCTTAAAAGATGCAGAAATATATTCTCTACAAAATTCGGTAGCTGACTTAGTTATACAATATCATTCATCAAGTGATAATTCCAGGATACGGACAAAAATGACGATTGGTTAAAATTAAATGTTTTAGTATTTTAACTCCAGTCACGCCGGATTATGCTATCCCAAAATGATTTATGTATTTTCTAATAGTCCTTGAAATTCTACATCTTTTAAGACGTCTCCAGACTAAAATCAATGGGCGGACGTAGGAAAAAAGGCAAAATATTAACAGCACCCACAAATCTCGATGTTTTCATCAAGTGTCAAAGGGTGTATCACTTATAGATCTTGGCATTTTTCATAGGTAAGTCAGAAAGAGCTACTATTTTGGATGTAGATGCTTCGAATAATGATCTATCGTTTGAGATATCTAAATTGAAAATCACTTTGAGTGGTGGCTAGCTTCTAATAAAACAGGTAGGTGATCTCGCGGCCCACTCTTAAGTACTATAGAAGCAAAATAAAAATGTTCATAACTTTTGAAGGGGGACAACCGAAAAGGTTCCCTCGTTAGTTGTTCATTTAATTTACTTCTCACGTCAACTTGCTTTTGTTACCTTCTGTGTCAGTGAAAAATGAGTCCTGAATATAACCAAGGAAATACAAATATGTATATATATGATAAAATACAATGCTAAACATTTATTCAGTTTTGTGTTCATAATGTAGATTTATATGAAAATGAATTGATGAAACATGATAGACATATTACGAAGAATTTTGACTAAATCAAATAGTTTGGTCCATTGTTTTTTTCTGAAACAATGATATAGAAGAAACAAAGACTTGAAGCGTTTGTTAAAGTGCTAAATGAAATAAATCTATCCACAATAAGCTAAACAATAAATAATTTACATTTCTATAGAATATAAATAAGTGCTGAGATTGAGAAACTCAGTTCATAGCTATAATATCAGGCGTTCTCTCAAATACTTGTGGCTTCATTTCTGTTGAAAGTTCTATTTGATTCATTTTTTTGATTATCCGAGAATAAAAAATGGTTGATGGTAGTCGCGCGTAATAGAGAGAAACAATTTCTCTTTATTTTCTATTAATTTAAATACTTTCAAATTTTGTAACATGATCTGATCGAAAAAAAATAATTAAAAAGACTGATAAACCTGAATAATAAATAAAGCTTTGATTGAAATATGTTTTAAGTTGTCAGTAAACCGTTTTAAGTGTTGATTTTACGAAAACATCATTTTCTTTCTTATTCTCATGCATTTCACTTCATCAAAATTGCTACATCAGCACGTCAAGAGCTCGTCAAGTATAATGTTTACAATGACAGAGAAACATAAAGTTAAATATCTTCCTAATAAAGCTGATAATGAGTTTTTAGTTGCGGTTTGCGGAAACAAATAGAGGTTTAAAAATAATATGAGTTCTATTAATAAGATGAAGAGATATGAAGATGAATTTAATTAAATTATTATGAAAAGAAGACTATTTATATTCAGCCGAAGATTTCAAATAGAAATTTACATTGTATACACTTACATAAAATCTAATGATAGTGTTTTTTACATATATTAGTAGATAATTAAAATTTTAAGTTCTGTTATGAAGAACCTTTCAAAAATCTTTTCATTGGCTGCAGGAATTTTTCGTTTTATTTCATCTTTTCTATATACATATCATGAGCGATCACATGGATATAGAAAATCTATTCTTCATCTTGCATCTTCTCTAGTAAAATTGACGTGTGCTCAAATGAAGAATGAGGAAAGAAAACAAGGAAATTTGTCACAGTAAAAAATAGAGAAAAGGCATAATTCGTACAAAACCAAATGTTTTATCATTTCCACATCAAAATTCATCAAAGAACTTTAATATTTTTCTTTTTCTCTCTTCAAAAACAACAAACCATTTAAATGCATAGTAGACAAAGAATTCGACAGAATCAGTGTTTGTTTTTGATTTTACTATTCTAGAAATATATTTGAAATAATCTATTATTTCATATTTTTCAAAAAACTTTCTCTGGTGGTTATATTTGAATTAATTTTCCATATAAGATCACATGATAATGATATCCTCCCTAGTCGAACGACTTGTAATCAAGGTCTTGTCAAGATCTTTGAAAGATAATTCGTTTGTAAATCTTGATCTCATCAGATACATCTGTGCCTTAGATCTTGGTAAGATCTATTCAAAGACTTTCGTATGTCAAGATCATGAAAATGATACTAGTTTTTATCATCTGTCCCCAAGGTTTTAACTAAAACAAAAAGCGACGTCATTCATTTATTTATGTATTTAAAAACCTTTTAATTAGTTACTACTTTCCAAAACTAAATCATAGAAACTTGTGAACTTTATATATCTGCAAGAAATTTAGCAGCAGTAGGAGCACGTGCCAATCAATACAAATGAAGTTATGAATAACAAAGAGAGAAGCAAAAGGAATTTACAGAAAATTTATAAAGCATGAACAAAGCTTTTTACACTAATCTAGTTTGTATTCATGAAAGATTGGTATTTCATAAGAAGATCGTTGCTGTTAAGTTACGATATAGGTTGATTTAGAATTCAAGTTTTTTAAAACCAATTTGTTTTGAAATACGACGTAATAAAAGACATTTTAGATTTTAGTGTTAATCAAATCTTTAATTGAGATAGATTCTCTGACTTCTTTTTTCCTATAGTGATTTTTCTAGAACATCATAGAAATAAAAGAAATTTTAAATGATTTTTTTCTAAATTTTTATGTATCATCAACTAAACTACCACATAGAATTCTCTTACATTCATGATCATTAACTTAATGTCATCGTTACCTTCTGATGCCAGTAAATGAAAACTAGCATTAAATAGTAATATACAATCTGTAAAAGAAATTGTACATTTTCTAAAACATCGCAATCATGATGCACAAGAAAAAAAATAGAAAGCATAAAAATTGATCAGTTTTAAAAATTAGACACGAATATTAGTAAGAACAGAGAATAGCAGTTTTATTTCGCTGCAAATTTTCTTTATTTGAAATGGAATAAATAGAAATACTTTCAACCTATAAAAATTGCTCATGTGATCCAAAAATTTTCTTGCACTAAATGCTCAGACACATATTTCTCACTATTAAATATATATTAGAGAGCATTATTTTAACTGAAGATCTAGAAAATCTTGACTATTAGTATGACAGATGTAATTGCTTCGGGCATAGATAAATAAAAACGATCATAAAAGACCAAATATGAAACTGGAGATATTCAGCTAGCATATCTTGTCTTTTATACGCATAATATTTGAATCAAATTTCCGGTACACGTGTTTGTGAAGCGACTTGTTGAAGTAAAGCAAATGTAATAAAGAAGAATATGATGTGTAGAATAAGGAAAAGATCTTTATTTTTCATTTTGAAAACATAGTCTTAACAACGTTGACTGAAGATTTGGATTGAAATTACTTTGGCAAAAGTCATATATATTCTTTAGTTTTATTAGTCTTTCTAATCCTGCAGCTTTTTTGAAGTATGAATTCTTTCAAAAATTTTCCTCTCATGGAAACAATCAAAGTTACATTTCTAGAAATACAATCAAAAGCTGAGCTAACAACAAAAATTAGCTTGAAGGAGTAGGATGAAACATCTAGTTAAAATTTTGTAAAGATAAATTTCTCAGCATTATCAGCAGTAACGTTTCCTTTTTTTCCTA